GAAGCACTGATCTGCAAGCACCGACGAATATTTCCTCTTCAGTTCTCAGAACAAAGCTGGGCTATATTTGGCTGACCAGGTCATAAACAGTCATATATAAACATAAATAGTTTCGAAATCAGGACCGAGATAAACGATTTCTTTGTTCAGAGCTATGGAATGAACCACTGACATGACTTCACGTAGGTTTCTTTTGGTTTCAAACCCAAAGTCAAACTGTCAGCACTCCCAAAGAGTGCACATGTCCTGTGTCACATATACGTGCCATTTGGCCAACTCCGGTTGCTGCTTGCGTCACATATATGTGTCATTCGGACGTTAAAAGTTAAACTTTCTGTATAGCAAACCGACTTTTGTGGAAGAATAACATTTGTTGGATTGTAATGCTTTATAGTTTGGTGTTTTGNATATATTGTAATCTAGGAGTCACTTCTTAGAAAGTGTTGCTTGTTGGCCATAGTTCTGGTATTGTTATTTGCTAGTGTGTGGAAGACCGAGCAGGTTGTTCTAGTGGTAACACTCCAGATTTCGAATTTTGGCCTGGACACTGATACTCCTGACGTTTTCATGGTATTACTCAGCCCCTCTCCCCCAGACAAATGCATGGACAGTACAAAGGTAAAACATGACTGTTTCTTTACAGATCCATTCCAATTTATTATTCAGTAGTCCTGCTCTTCACCCCTGTAGTCTTAGGTAATGAGAGAGTTCTCTCATGCCTCATACATACATATCTGACGTGGGAGACTCACTGATTTACATCTCATTCTTATTTTTAAGCAATAAGCTTAAGAATGCTAAAGATTACTGTTGGTAATATTATGTACTAGCGTTGTATTATGGAGCACATCATAACCAATTATGTCTTACATTGGCCTATTCATCAAAATCGGATTTTTGTGCAAATGTTCTATAACACAGAAACATGGTGTCTTACAAATTCCTGTAACTTGATTCAAGGTCCTTCTTGCAATTCAGTAATTTGAAAAATTGGAATAAAAGTATATTCTTATGAAGTTTGAGGTTCTGTATGGAGGGACTGTGTATTTTACTGTCTTTATGGATGCATTTAAGAGATGCTAGTCAGTCAGTCAGTCAGAGGTCAAGAGTTGGCAGGTAGTATTGGTGAGTTGCAAGTGAGCAGTGGGACTTTGCTTTTGGCTGTGAGGAATCTCTGCTATTAGCAGCCACTACCTAACAACGACTATTGATGGCCGAATAACAAACAGCAGTCTCTGAGTGTGCTGTAATTGTAATGATTTAGGATGTGTACCAGTGATTGAGACTAGCTCTTTCTAACGGGCCCAAATGAGTATTTTTATCCTTCCCTACCCACCTGAAGACGGAGACAGATCCAGTTTCCGTAACGTCGTGGTCTTTTGTCTTTTACATACCAGACGATGGATGAAGTCCAAAAAGCAAAAAGAAGTACAGTAGAACTTGGTTATAACATCATCAAAGGGACCTAAAAATAGTGTCGTTATAAACGAATGTCGTAACCGAAATGGGCACTTCCACAGTAGCCTTATGCNGTTATCTTCGTCTGTTTCCTGTTACTTGACCAATACACACTTTCTAAATTACGTTCAGTGTCCATATCAGAGAAATTCAGGAATGAAAATGACGTTACATACGAGGTTCATGCATTTGTGCATGTCGTACTAAGCAAGGTATAAAAACAGTTGCTTTATGAGGAATTAGTTCGTACCATTGAATATTTGATGCAATAGACAAGGCGTCGCAGAAACCGATGTTGCTATAACCAAGTTTTACTGTACATGTTACTGTGTTTTTGGTACCTATTTTGTTGTGTTGTCATTGGCATGAGTAGATTATTGAAACATGTTCCTTACCAGAGGAGAGTTTGTCCTGTGATGTGACAACACTAACCAAAGTCGCAGTTGTCATGTAGATAACAGCAGAAGCTGTAAAAATGTCACTTTAGAATTGTGTAACCAGTTGGCAAGATGGGACCCATCTGGGTGACATAGCATAGCCAGGTCGGGGAAGTTGAAAATTTGTTTCTCCATAGGAAAAACTTCTGGAACCTTTCTGACAGGAGACTGGTATAGGGGGATGGAATAGCCGAGACCACCCCTGTTAAGGTGGTGAATGTTGTGAATGCACCAGGCCACACACTTCAGTGGAGAATGTTGGAAAATATTTAGAATGTTTTCTTTATTATTGCTTGTAATGCATACTGCATTGCTCCAGCACAAAAGATCCTGTTATTCAAAGGTGTCTGATATTATAAATTACGTTAGTACTTGTACGCTTGATGGAGAATCTGAACACCTGCATTGATCAAGTTGCATAATGTCTTGTGCCCCCAGAGGATGTTCGTGGGAACAGCTGTCTTCCTGCACATGTAGTGAGAGGGCTGGAGATGGAAGCTACTGTTCTCTTTCTGTGCATGTTCTTGATGGGCCCAGATGTGCTGTGTTGTCAGTAGTGCTCATATGATTAGCAAAGAATATAAATCAGTGGCTAAGCCACATTGCCAGGTGTGTTTGTGTTAACAATAAAGATATTGAAGAAAATGCTTGATCAAACTGTTAAGTTAGGATCGTGCTTGTTACATCATACTTCTGTTGTAGTCGGTATGCTGTACAGCGATATGGTATCATCCTTGCTGGAGATGCTTGAGTTGCTTTATAATATATGCCATGTAAACTCGACTGCCTATTATAAGCATACGCTTTTCTTTTGTAAGCATAAGAACGTCTGTCCTTGATGTGTGTAGGTGGTGAAAGACTATGCAGTGAGCTCAGTTATGATTTGAATGAGTTTCTGTTGAATTGTTCCAAGATGTGACATGAAATAAACTAGAAACTACAGCACTAGTGTCTGAAAGAAAGCAACCAATTAAGATAACAGGGACCTGTGAATTTCTTTTAGTCGTAGTGTGAGTTTCCGGGAAAACATTGAGAAGCTGTGGCTTAGAGGGTAGAAAAACTTACCG